GAGGGAAGCCAGGTGTCGAATTTATGAGCCTGGCCAGTGAATTTGTCAGGGTCTGGGAGGGAAGGTTTAGGCTTTGCGGATGTTCTTGACCGGAGTAAGTGAATCTCGTCGCGCTGTCGCTGGACTTCAGCTTGCAACTCAGCGATGGCGGACTGAACTTGAAGGGCATCCATTGTAGAGAAGTCGAAAAAAGAAGAGGTTTCGTCGTGTTGTAAAGTGTAGGGTTCTTGCGCACAAGAAAGTGGTAGAAATCGTGAGAATTGAGACGTAAGATCGTGGACCTGAACTTGGACGTGAACGTGAACTTAGACCTGGGATACTTAGCCTCAACTAAGGGTCTTTTGTAATGTGACAGACGTGCTTCAGGTAGAACTCAGAACAATTAACACTCTATTCTTAGGACAAAAGACGAGGAAAGAAGGAGAGCTCGAGAGAGCTGGGAACTAAATACAGGTCGTGCGCGCTAGCGCCTCGCTAAGCGAGCATGTGACATCCAGCCCTCGTGACCATAACCGTCACAACAACGTTAATTCCTTAATATTATTTGAGCTAAATAAAGCAATCTAATTATATTGAGGGCTATCAGAGTTCCACTTTTGGAAACATAAACTAATAGCTATCTGTTAGCTATCTGTTCGGTATTATCCTTTAAGCGGACTTAATAAATAAGATTTTAAAGTTGATTCTAGGCTTAGATATAGGTACCTGATGTTATTATTAGTAAATGTAATATACTAGAAGTTATAACATCTCCTAGACCATTCGGGGGATTCGTTGACAAGGATTTGGCACTTTAAACCTTCGGAAAAAAGTCGTGCATGTCCTTGATGCACCTGAAAATTCCCCGGAACGGTCTAGGAGATAGGTTTGTAAGGTTGGGTATGGGTAAATGAGTTTGTAAAAGTATGGTAGGACAAACGTTCAAAGTTATAGAACGTAAAAATGTTGTTGGCGATCGGGGCTAACAATTCATTTGTCTCGTCTCCTTGTTGCTTATGTCCCGTCGCTTGGAAGACTGGTGGCTAGAACATCTGATAGGTGCAGGTGGGCGTAATTGATCACGTGAGGATTATTTTCTTCAAGCCATCTTGCTGTTGATGTCTCAAGTGTGCCGCACTTCATCTTAATCACCTCCTCATTTACTTGAACTCTAAATTTTGAATCAGCTACTACTAGTATCAAAAGCTTAGACATCATCTGAGCCGTCGTTGAGATGACCCACGTGCATAGCAGGGGATCGCTGAGAAGCGAAGCCCGCTTGTTTCAAGGAACTACCTTGTGGTTTTGTTTTAAGTCTAATGTCATATGGATGAACCAAGGGAACTTGTTTTCAATTTATTGAAAGTGACGAAATTCATTTGAACGAATGTCTATACGAATTTTCGGATAGACTTTCGGTATAAACCTAGTAGTTTGTTTCTTCCGTCTTTCAAAGCCTTGATTGATTTTGCCACTCCGTATACCTACAGTTTCTCTAGCTTCTAAACAGGCAAACGCTTGAAGACCATTTACATGAGTTGGATTCTCTATTTCTTCCGAATACATACGTTTCTCGGGATTGATGAGAAGGTGAATATATCGCATACTCTTCAAGTCACACAATTGGCCGGAGTAATGTCATCTTTGGTGAATCCTAACCCGGACCCACATCATGAAATCATCGCCACGAATGCAACGTATCTCCCCCGTGGCCCTTCCCCTTTGCGGGATACTTTCATGTTTGCCGAGCCCCTGATACGCGTTTGTTTTCATATAGATATTTTGAAGGACTTAACAGTCGAAAATCTAGATTTAGCGCGGTAAAATATATGGTTATACAGTAACATTCACAGGTTTGTCCTCTCGACGTATGGTGTATACCTCTTACATCAAAAGTTTGTTATATTCACCTTCGGTCATAGTAATTTACGGTTGTTTTGAGGTTAGTGCTACTTAATTAGTATGAAGTATGTCGACCCAAGCACCTCATAGCGCGCCTATACATTGTTAGCCGCCGGTCCGATTCTTCGGATCTAGCTAACCGAACCCCACTGTGAGTCTTGTCTTTTAATATAGGTATGCCTAAATAAATGCTTGTTTTGAGAAACAATATGGACCAAACAAGAAGCCGCAAACTTCGACGATTAGACAGATGGATGTACTGTACTGCACATATGCCACGTCACTACGCCCAGGTGATATAAGTTTTTTTCAACTTATGTAGAAGTCATGGGTAATACTGTATAGTATTGTTCAATGGGGGTGACTGAACGCCACTTTACGCACCCTCAAAACACCCCACAGGGGGCAAGGATCACGAATGAGATAGAAGCAGTAGAGTGGTTTGGACGAAACAGTACCAGCGTAATACTTTCCACCTCGTTTGCAGTAATCGCAAATAATCGTATTAAGTACTGTACAGAACCCTGGAATGACATCTCCAGACCCAGTATCGCGAACAACGTTTGGCAAATGGAATACGATTCCATAGAATTCCACCCCTTCATTGCACCTGGAATCCTTCTAGAGGACTACTAAGATGGAACATTTTCTTTTATAAAACAGGCCTTAGAATGCTATAGAAAATAATTCTTGAGACGTGGTAAGGAAATGTTATTCAACTAATCGGAGAGGAGGATATCCCTTCCAGACTCGTAAGGTCCAAAAAAAACGTGCACTCCTGGGTGGAGTAAAGTTATCCACTATAGCAACATTTTCCCCGCAAAACAAAGTCGCTTGGCCAACCAGGTCGGGTTTCCAAGCTTTTGAGCCCCCACTTGACCCATTTATTATATCCACACTTATCCACCTAGGAGTGCACGTTTTTTTCATGGACCTCACGAGTCTGGAAGGGATAAAGGGGACGTAGAGATCAAGAGTATATATACTATGGCTAAACAAAGCTTCCTAACAGTCTATTGGGCGGGCGGACTTGTTTTCTTTCGTGTGACTCTTTTATGGAATAGGGGTTATGGAATAGAATTCTTCTAGATATCTATTTAAATAGGTTGGGATCCTCCTAGTGTGGGGGTATGGAATGGAATGGAATTTCAAATTCCGAACGCTGATAGCGAGCCGGACTTGCCACTCTAATACAGCAAAGCAAATGAACAACATGATTATGTACAAGAAGAAAAAAAAAGAATCCATCTCCTTGTACTTTAACCTCCTTTCCACCGAAAATACTTTTGAGCCAGTCAGCAATCATTCCTTACAACGTAAGTGTGTTACCGGCTTTACCGACAACTGCGGCCTGAACCCCAGCAGCATCGATCGCCTCATACGAGTAAGGAAGAGTTGTGAGAGTACCAGCCGGGGCGGCGTTTTTTCCATATCCATAAGTATTTCCTTTGTCAACTGCAAAACCTTCCCCATCAACGCTGACGATTGGCTCTTCGGCACCAGCGAAATTGTTGTTCTCAACAAGACATTGAGCGCCTTTTCTAGTGTTGACTGCCTGTCCAATACCCTCAAAGAAGTTGCTGTAGATATGTCCCTCACCAAATCGGAGGGATGGAACACGGGTGTTGAGGTTCGAGAAGTGGTTGAAGCCTAATGTGACTCTGAGTTTTCCGGTGTCTGTAGAGCCGCTGCTATCTGAGTTTCCGATGAGAACAGCTTTCCAGTGGTCGTATAATTTGCTGTACGTAACGGTGACCAGATCAGCACCATTGACGATGTCCAACAGTCCGTCATAAAAGTCCTTATCGTGGGTTCGATCGGAGGAGAGATCTACGTGATCTATCCAAACATAGTTTGAACTCTGAACTGTAATTGCATCCCCATTCTCAGCCGTAACCTTCTTGATTGCTATGTTACGGATAATGACGTTTGTTGCTGAGTTGACCGAGAGACCAAATCCTGTAAAGATGACGGCGCTGGATTTGCCAAGGAGTGAAGTGTTGCTGCCAACTTTTATTTGTGGTGCTGTCTTTTCGATTGGCCCGGATACATAAACAATCTTTTTCGCTTCACCTGCTACAGCGGCGGCGAGCTCTTCGTAGGTTGTTACGGTGACTTCTGTCCCCCCGGCACCACCTGTGGTTCCTTCGCCGACAGAAGCGAATCCTGGCGCTCTCTTTTTGGCACGTCAGTAAATTTTCAAATGGAAAGTCTAGAAAGTTCTTACATCACCGTTGGCGGTGCTGCCACCTGAAGTCTAGTCATGATGTTAGTAGGCATTTCTGTGTGGGAATCTCTGGTTACTCTTACACGATTGGCAGGGGCCCCGTAGGGAGTTCCGGCAGGCTGATCACTGCCTCCAGGTTTGCCAGTGCTTGCAGGTGTGCCGCCAGTTTTGGAGGGGGGCTTATCACCAGTCTTGGGTTTGCCTCCAGTTTTGCCAGTGCTTTTAGGCTTGCTTTCGCCAGTTTTGGAGGGGGGCTTATCATCATTCTTGGTATTGCCTCCAGATTTGCTAGTGCTTTTAGGCTTGCGTTCGCCAGTTTTGGAGGGGGGCTTATCATCATTCTTGGTATTGCCTCCAGATTTGCTAGTGCTTTTAGGCTTGCGTTCGCCAGTTTTGGAGGGGGGCTTATCATCATTCTTGGTATTGCCTCCAGATTTGCTAGTGCTTTTGGGCTTGCCAGCGCTTACAGGCGTGCCAGTCTTAGAGGGGGGCTTGTAGTTATCATCAGCCTTGACATTGGGTTCAGATTTGCCAGTGCTATAAGGTTTGTCGCTGCTAGCAGGTGTGAGAGTGTCGTCAGGTTTTTCGCAGTATTCCTTCGCTTTATACGGTGCTGCCAGAGCGAGAGTTGCCAACAGACCCGAACACAAAATTGTCGCGAACTTCATTTTGATTTTTGAAGTTTGAAGTTCGTGAAGAAAGGTGTACAAAAGAGGGAATCAAAGAGGATAGGACAGGGATTGTCTTTGTCGAAAAGACTGAACTCTGTCAAAAAGGGGTGCAAAAGAGAAATTCAAGTGATTGAAGTTGCTGCAAACGAGGAACTCACGATTTATGAATGAGCGGTCAGAGGGGTTAAAGTAGAAACCCAACATGAGGAATTTTCCCCTTGGAAGATAAAATAGGATACTCCAGGTCAGAGACATCATACTGAGTCCCAGATGGATGAAATAAACAAGATGCCAAGTATTATCAAATGTCTCGAGTGGATACCCAATCACTAGTTGGCCCCCTTCGAGAAGCCAAGCACGATCGTTTGATTCCCCGCGTTCCTCATTGACTAGTTTCTTCGGATCTCGGATGATATATGAGAAACAAACTGGATGGTACCTTCCGCTGTCACTTGTTTGAGAAAGATTAATACACGGGATTTTCACTGGCATGTTCCCAAATGAATCTTTGAACGTTCATTACGGAAGATTGGAAGAAAGGTGCAGGATGCGCGGTATAATTGATGTTCCAATGCGATTGGTTAAAGCTTGCTTCATCCAGAGACCATTACGAGGGACGATCATGGAGTGGGAGTATGAAACACAGTCTTGGGAGGTGTATGTGTAATAGAAATCAACAGTTTTCAGACATCCTTCGGGACTAGGTAGTGTAGTGGATACAAATTGACACTCTACCTACAAATATTATCTCACTGCATACACTGAATCAGGAAATTAGTCAATGAGCGAACTGTTTATCACAGCAAAGCCCATGCTGGAAAAAAAGCTTCTGCCAGCGAGTTTCTAGGTATCCCAAAAAAAGAAAGTCTTTGATAGCATTTTCTTTTCGCTATACGCACGATGCAAACCACGTCCAAACCCCGTCAAACGATTGCACGAGACCCTAACCAGAACGGTTTTTCAGCCGTCAGCCAATGTTTCTTTTCATCCCTAAATGTTTGTTGTAGTCTTGTCGTCCGGTTTCGAAATATCCTACAGGGAAGCGGGCTTCCAAAGTACCTAAAACCGTCTGATATAGCAGTTTGGTCGAAACTTCGCCAAGAAAATCTATAAGACCACCATATGGCCCCGTGACTTTTGTAACTTTTTGTTTGATCCCTTACTCCGGACTCCCACACCCCTATTTGAATGTTATTTCTGACAGCTTCATGCACTAATGTTTGTATTACGAAGGTACCGTACGCGCGGAAGAAATAACAAAAACAAAGTGCACGATTAATCTCTAGTTAAGAGGGGCGGGGGAAGTAGTAATACTCCCTAAATGCTCTCTACCGGTAGGCAAATCATCCTAGTCAAGTTTGGCCTCGGTACTCTCACCAATAAGATCGGTAGAAAGCACTTACGAAGTACGGGAGATTTTATTCCTTTACATTGTCTATTGGTGGGAAAGGCTTTTTTGCATTACAATCAATCTTACGAACTTGTACACGTCGAAGTAGATGTTTGAGATTAGGAAAATAATTAAGAGAGACTTCGAGTTTAATGAGCATAGGTAGCAACAGAAAAGAAGCTTCTAGGGTAACATTCATTTTGGCTATTAATAGCAAAGGAGTGATTCATGACGTCAGTGATTGGATTGTTTCTGCTCATGACCATTTTTTGCCTCATTCTCGCTTAGGCTCGCTTAAAACTTGGCCTTGGTTGCTACTATTTTTGTAGCATCTATACTAAACCACATAAAATTGAAATTACAATTGAAAGGATAATAAAGTTTGTCTTTCTGAGTCCTCCGTCAATGTCTTTAATGCCTGCCCATAAACTCTAGTATGTTTATTTCCTGACTATAGAGATGGTTGTATTAGGGGGGGTTATAATTCCAGACGCAGTCGCGTACTTCAGCCGAAACACACCAAAAACTACCTTTGTGTCAAGCCCATCCCCTCAACGATATATGTGTACAGGTAAAGTTTTAGGTTTGCGATACCCACCTTTAGTCTTGGTACTGAATAATAAAGGGTCTGGACAGCTCGCGTCGCCCCCTCCCTTGTATACGACTTGTTATAGGCAGGGTATAACTCCACAATTAAGCCCTCTAAGCCAATTGAATTGTCCGAATCATGTGGAGGTATATCAGAAAGTAACAATGGGGGGGGAGACCCGAGCTGTCCAGGCCCTTTACTATTACTTGATTGGTGCGGGGCAAGTCGAACCAAGGCCCGTAGCGCGCCTAGGCATCATTCCGATCGGTCCGACCGCTCAAACAGGAATTCGCAACCCTAAAACTTTACCTGTACATATATATCGTTGAGGGGATAACTCCAAGAATTCGTATGAAGCCTATACGTAATATCTCTTATATAGATTAAGCGTATATGCGGAAGTTTTCTATTAAAGTTAATATATCAAGAGATATCCTAGTAGGAGGTTTCCCCTGAGTAAATTCCTTAGTGAATTTATTAGCTTTTAGTATAATAAAATAGCGTCTTATATTAAAATTCTAAAGTGTACAAGCTAGAGCAACTATGTATCTTAATCTATATCTCTAATTTTAGATCATTTCGATTATTCCTTAATTTAATATAATTTAGTAAAGCAGAGTAGCAGCGTATCAAATAAGTAGAGTAGAGGCACTTACTCAACACTACTTAAGTAGGTTTTAGCCCTACTCTAACCTACTCGCCAAGAATTAAGTAGGTTAGAGTACAAATTAAGTAGAGTTACGCTAGTCGGCCCGAGCCCTGTAGCTTACCCGGGGTACTCTGACTGGTCGGTGTACCTACTTAGGCTTAGTCGAGTACGTACTCCCTTATGCTAGTAGAAGGTAAATAGCGTAAGATATACTATTTTACTAATTTTAGCGAGGAAATATTTATAAATACTCGTAATAAGTAGGCTAGCGAGTAGCTCTTTAGCTAAGGGGCTAATATTCTAATAAAGAGTACTCGTTATTTTATACTTTAGTTACTACTATAACTACTTGAGTATACTTAAGTAGTTGAATCCACTACTCTAACCTACTCAACTAGACTATATACTCAAACCTACTCTAACCTAATTAAGTATAACCTGTGCATACTTGATTAGCTGAGTATTTCTTTCTTACGCTGATTTTTAGTGTATTTGCGACCAAAATTTAGGACTGCGTCCAGAATTCTAACACCCTTTGGTGGTGGTGGCCATTCTCTATACCTCCACTTGAAAAACTAATTCACTATAATTCTTGCGACTAACAATAGCTGTTAAAACCTTCTAGACAAAATCGTGAACCTTCTCTATATAAATAGTTCTTTTTAAATCAAAAATTCGTAGAACTACTCGTGTTTCTGAGAATTGAAAGGTATTATTAGAAGTCTCTAGAGGAGAGTTGTAACTAGTCAATTCTCAAATGAAACATGTCCTTTCTCATATAGTCTCGTACGGAAACCAAGTCCTAATCGGTGAGAAGAGCCTGACCCAACAGGAGATATGGTTGTAGACTGTATTCGCGCACTATATAACTTATTGATTTCATTTTCAAGGATTTGTTATAATATCGAGTGACTACGAGTCAAATACCAAAGCCTGAAATTTACAACTTAGATTCTGGAGGTAGAATGAAAAGACAATTGTATTCTTTTAAATCTGGAGACTCGCAAACCACCTCTACTCCTAGCGCAGAAACTCATCACATCGCAGGCATAGCAGGACCTTTCTTCAAAATGAAATAATTATAATATTCTTGGAAAGAAGCTTTGGTTATTATGAAATTTAAGTAGCCATAATCACTCTTCAGCCCATGTTAAAGTACAGTCGCTCCCTATCTTTCTACTTCTGTCTAGACTTCTGCCTAGACTTTTGGCGATACTGTTTCCCTGGGCGGTTCCTCCCTTTTGGTCTCTATCCCATCCAGGTGCGAGAGCCGCAGTTTTAAACGGGCAACCAAAGTGGAGTGAAGGTTTCTTTTACTTGTTTTCTCCAAAAAAAACAAGTCGTTCGGCCAAACGCTGCGTTTCCAAGCATTTGAGCCTCAATTTGACCCCAGCTCTACACCAAATCTAATCCACTTTGGACGCATGTCTAAAACTGGGGGTCACGCATCTGAAAGGGATAGCTGTTCATTGTTCACATGGATAGATTTCTCAAAGAGGACTGTAGATACTGTACTTTGCGGGCTAGAATTAGAAATACAATTCTTTCTAGGCTTTTGTGCTCCTCAATAGCATAATATCAGCAGTCATGTGAAGAATGCTACGTAGGGAGGAGAGGTCAGCTGACTATGGTATGATCGAGCGTGATCTTCCGCACACGAAAGTCCAAACTTTTACTTTATCTAGATGTGGCTTCATTTCTGCCGAATTTATGACGTCTAACTGAGTCTTCCGCAGTTCCTTGCTTCAAGAATAGCTCTTGTCATGTGCGTCGTTTCGCAGGTCTTCCCAGTGGCCGTCATCTGAGAGGCGAGGCAGCAGCCCAGAGGTGAGAACAAATTACGAGGAGAAAAGCTACAGTATTGAAACAGCTCAAACTTTTTCATCCGGAAGTTGAATGACGGCGATGACGCTTTCCCTTTCTCAAATACATTGGGCCATACTATACAGTAGAGTCGTCTTGCGTTGTTAGCGGAGAAGGTGCATTTTCAGATGAAGAGCGGGAGTGTTTTATTGAGATCCATGGACCTCTTAGACCTGCCATTCAGCGGAAGGGTCCAATCAAAAGACTACATTACAATTGATTAATCTTTTCTACATTCGAATCGTGCTTCCAAAGATTGGTCCATCAAACCTTCTCAGGAAACCACACAAGAGGGCTGTACGTTGTGGCGCTATTTTTAGACAACAATGTGCCTCGTAGTCACAATTATACAGTACAGCAGTAGACCTTCGTACCTCGAAACTCGCACTGATGCATTATGGACTATTTCGCCATCCGCATTAAGTTCGAAGAAGTAATTTGTGAAGTGCCGTCAAACTTGTTTTCAGATGAAGTAGTAGACTGTTTTATCCAAACCCCGGCACCGCTTGGTCCCTTCGAGGCCCAAAGTTTAAAGGAAACCATCAAAAAAGCGACTATAGTATGTATGGTATCAATGTTCTATACTGTACTGTACTCGTACATCAAAGATGAGTTTTATCCATTTACAGTATCAGGGGTTGACTTTCTTCCCGTGATCTCCTTGACGCAGGCCAGACTGTGTTTCTGACGGCTTTGAGCTTTCCCCGCAGAAACAAGGAGTATGCGACACTTTGGAATGTCAGACTTTCACAAAATTTTACTCATTGTACTCTGTAGGAAGAGGAGGAGGAGAACGCGGGGATATGGGGAAACGTGTTTGTTGTGAGAATTTGGATAGCCCTATCGGTGAATCAATTAATGTTTTCCAATGGACCAGTTACCAAGAATTCGATTAGCGTGATATGAAGTTGAAACAATCAGGTCGCTTTACCGATTGTTGGCAATGACGTACATAACCAAGCAATATTGAGGGGCGTCTTCATTCGAATTTGCACGCATTGAGGTATTCGTCACCGACAAGGAACAAATTCTGTATAGAGAACCATTGGGATGGCGAGGCTGAGTGACAGAAATGACATAAGATCTTAGGCCTGATGCGAGTCTTAGCGTCAAAGCATCTTTTACAGGTACATCCAACCAGGAGCACCAAATCCAAGCTTAAGTTGGATGCCAACTGAAGCTAAGGTGCCGATCTTGGCTTCAACCTCACTTCAGAGAAAAAACAAGAACTTGAGCTTTCGCGAAATACCAATTCTCCATTCTCTATGATGTAAGATGAGGGGTAGTTTGGAAATACTTTCGTTCGAAGTTGCAAAAAGAGCTACCCTGTAGAGTTATTGAGATCATCGAGAAGCTGTCTTATGGTCATGGTCGAATTCTGCTCCTGGGTAGTATGAATAGGGCCTATCCATTAGTATAAATATCAGGCTGGAATCCCTCTTCAAGATCTCAACAATATCATCAAAATCATCCATCTCTTCTTATCATAACTGCCTGATCTCTTAACCAGAATCAAAATTTGTATCGGCTTCTCCCTCAATCAACATTTCTTGATACTTTACTTCAAATAACAACCTCTCTCAAGTATCGTTGCAAATTACTAAACCCAAAACCAAACAGCAAAAATGCAATTCACTTCCTTCTTCCTTCTACTTCTCGGCGCCACTACCGTCCTTCCCGCCCCAGTTGACATTGACTTGTCCGAGGTGGCTTCTCCCTTGGTAAGATCATGGATCTTAGAAGCGTTTACATAATTGCTGATGTGATTTACCAGTCTTCACTCAATAAACGGGAACCCACAACACCATTAAGCGAATTTCTCCATACAGTCCATACAAGAGGTAAGGGCAAGGGCAAAAATGGCGACAACGATAATGATGGCATCCCCAATGCCCTCGATGATGATAGCGATAATGATGGCGTCCTCAATGCCCTCGATAATGACAGCGATAATGATGGCGTCCTCAATGCCCTCGATAATGACAGCGATGATGACGATGTTGGAAACAACAATAAAAACTGCAGCAACAACAGAGCACTGTGTAACCCCAATCAAGGGGCTTGCAGTCGCTCCGGGTCCAATGACGCCACCAACTGCTGCTGTGTTTGAGGAGGTTATTTTTGTGTGATTATGGTTGTATGATTATGTTTGTATGATTACTTTTGTATTATTACTTTTGTATCATTATTTATGTATGGTTAATTAGGTATGAAGCTTGATGCTTGTGCGTTCATTTGGAGACTAAGTAGCGTATGATGTGATGTGTCTATATTTATGGGAAAATCGCGAAACTTGCCTAAGTTGTCTCAACTTTTAGAGTATGAAACAAACGAGAGAACTGCTTGTTTATCATTTTGCCAGTAACAAGAGACTCTCAAATAGGCCTTTAGTTTGGTTTGCTCAATGAGTATGGAATTGACCAAAAACGGTAAGACATTTGGGCGAAACTCTGGACACGAATGGATTTCGATTATATTAAAATGCCCGGAGAACAATGTCAATCATACGAGACTTTAATTATAATATCTTTTTCTGATCTAGGTTCGTACAGAATTCCGCTCAACTGTCTTACAGATTAGTACTTCCAGTGGTTGACTTATTAATCCTTGACTGGAAATGAAGCACTTGATATTGACTTAATTATCCTTTAGCGGAAACAATAACCAAAAGAGACTGTGGGATTAACAAAACATAAATTCAAGGTTCGGCATTTGGAATACGATTCCAAGGATTCTAAGATTCTATTCCAAGGTGGAATATTCCAAAGGCTCTTTAATTTGGAATGGAATATTCCAGAGGATAAGGCTTTATAATTTGGAAATCCAAAGGTTATATATATATATAATACTTTCTAACTAATAAGATAACTCTAAGTAAGAACTTTGGGTGTTAATATACTAGAACTCTAAAGGAGAATTAGTATATATAGTAGCTAATATGACATAAGCCAGTCACATGACCATTATTCATTAATTATTGCCTACTGGTACACCTAGAAGAGTATGGTGAATAGGTTAATCACTATATAGAGATCTAGTACGAGTAGACGAAATTAAGAAGTTTCGACGCCCTTATATCCGTATTGAATATATAGGGTTGATATAGGTAGTAATATAGATATAAGTCTCAAATATTAATAGTACTAAGGCTAAATCTAGGCTTTCTATTGGTCGCTCGGACCGTAACTACTATTTTGCGGGTCATGTGACGAGTTCCAAGTGGAATTCCAAAAATTCCACCCTTTAGAATGGAATATTCTATAAGGGGGGTCTTGGAATAGAATGGAATTTCAAATGCCGAACCTTGCATAAATCATCACGTTCCTTCGATTGAGCTAATCTACTCTACAAATGGGGAAAAAATATAATCTGCCCTATACGCAGGTCCCGGCATCTATTTAGATTTATCTTTTTCCTCTACCACATCATTTGCCTCGATCCACTCACTCGGCTTCCACATAAAAATACCCCCCTCATTTCCCCCCTGCATACCTTTCAACGGTCTGAACCTACTCAGTAATTCAAACCCAACGCTTCTGTACAGCATCTCGCCCTGACTGCTTGCCTCTATACCCACGGGAACGTTTTCCTCTTCAGCCCGCTTAATAACCTCACCCATTAATCTCTTTCCAATTCCAATTCCTTGAAACTGTGGTAAGACGACCACACTCTGCGCATGCCATCGATTTCTCCTCATAGGATACCTGTCAAACCAAAACCTCGCTTCCTCATCTCCGACACGAAGAAACTCCGCCACAGCATGAGGATCATCACACTTCCCCCGATCCCCCCAGTAGAGAAAAGGTAGAATACAATTCCACAGCCACAACGAGGTCGGCATCCAAAATCTTTTACGACTAGCAATTTGTTTCTGCGCTCCTTCGTCGTCTCCTAGTCGCATGAATTGAGCGTATCCGACGACCACTCTTGGATTTGATTCCTCGACTGCAACGAATGTCAGATTTCGAGGACTCAGCATTCGTTGGAGGGCACGCTGTTGATATCCTCGTCGGAAGGCATTAGGATGTTCCTTAGAATGTGGAGAAAGGTATGCATCCAGGTATGTGTCTCCATACGTGTGCGCCGCAATCCTTCCTATGGCGAGGAAGTCGATGATTTTGCCGCGACGAAGGAGGACTTTTGTTCGAGAGTTGGGCTCAAGAGACACAGAGTTTGAGGACTTCTCTTTAGAAGAAACAGACATCGTTCTTTTGGGGAAAAATCGTCGAGCTGAATTCTGTGGAGGTTCAATTTTGATATCACGTGATAATTATTGTCAAAAAGACAACCGTGAAGACTTGAAAACTCAATTATGCTGTATCTTAGTATCTCTTTATAAGTATGATCCTTGTGGATTAGTGATACTTCTGTACCCCATTTGGTCGCGTATGGCTGTACACTGGTGTCTCCGATGACTCATGCCGAAAGTGTATGCGAAAACAAAAAAGCCAAGTGATGGCGTCGCCTTCGCGGTAAATGTCTGAAATAGGAGGACCAGCGCAGGTTGTGATAAGCTAACTTCGACCAGAGTGGCGCAGGTTTACCGAGCCACCTTATTAGATTAAGCCATTTGCTATACGGCATCGACATTTTGCTAAACGGCATCGAAGTGACATGGTCCCCCAGCCACTTTACAGTATGGCACCAGGTACCCTTGATGTTATTTCAGGTATCGATAATATTATTGTTGCTACACCTTGTCGTCGCTATATTATCGCGAACTCGTCGTCGCTGCTATCTTGTCGTCGTCGCTACCTTATTATTACTATTTTATTTGTAATATTTTATTACTATAATATAACTTGTATATACTTAGTAGTAATAAAAAGGTAGTAATAGGATATAGCGATGGCGAGGTACAGCGACGACGAGGTGGTAGTAACAACGAGGTGGTGGTAACAATAACATACAGGTAGTGTTACGAGGCATCAAGGGTACCTAGGAATAGACCGTAATGTGGCTGGGGGCCATGTCACTTCGATGCCGTTTAGCAAAATGTCGATGCCGTATAGCACTGGGCTAGATTAATAGTCGAGAGATAATGTTATTACTCAAGAGATGACAAGAATTCATTCTCAGTGGCGGCAAGGCAACACTGGTGACACAACTCACCAATGCGAGTCCTGCGAAAAGTAGCGAGATGGTCCCATGACGAAGCTGTGGCGATATTATGTCACATGACTCGCATGAAAAGATGACCTCGAGTGACTTGCACGTGGCTTGTTAGGAAGTAGAGCATTCAGAAGGCATGCAAGGCTCCCTCCAAATATTATAACACTCATCTCACAGTCCGGCATCTTGGTAATATCTACATCAACGGCTTACACTGTTGAGAGGTTGAAATTATACACTACAAACGGGATTTAGTAGGGCGGCGAGATAATTGACAGTTTCGTATGAATGAATCCTTCCTTGAAAAGGTAGCTCAACTGTCTTTCATCGGTAACTACTGAGTTGATCTGTTTGATTCGCCTATCATGAAATTAGCCAATCTAAACCTCCACTTCATTGACTAGACTTTAGTGTTTAATTCTTTTTGAGTGATAAAATCCATAGAAATTACTTTCCAAATTTCAGGACCTGTATATGATATGTATGTGTTTATATCACTTTATTTATTTGGCCGAAGTAATAGCATTGATTACACATTGTTTCGCTAAGCACGCCATCACAATTAATTCTTATACCTCTAGGAAAATAAAAGGATCGCTAAACATACAAGACTAAAGACTTACGAGATATGTAATTCGTATAAAAGTACGTGGGAATACATGGGAGGCAATCTCGCCAACTCGGGCGCACTCTCACTTTACCCTGGTTCAAAAGGCCTTCGAGCGTTTCAAAGCTAAACACCGCTTTACGATATGATGTGATTCGGGAAATATGTCATTCTCAGACACCGTGACCCTCAGCTCGAAGCATGGTTGTTGCCACTATTTTAATTGCTTCTTCTGAACAGGCTACGTTCTCAACTACCCATAATGTGCATCCCATCTTACTAGCATCTACTTCCATTTTGGATATTTGCTTTGACGAGCTTGGTGCTCGATTATAGGAGTAGGCAGTGGATTAGGTTCCACTGCATCAACTATATCCGAAAATTTAGGTCTTCAAAACGAATGCTTTTATGAAATCAAGTCAACATAATACTTCCAGAGTACGAGTATTCAGACACAGAAAAAAAACGTGTACTAAGAGTGGAGGAAAGATGGCGTCATAATATTATCCGCTAGTCAGCGAACTCCTACTGCCTCTGCTCTTCAGTGCCGGGACCTTGTTTACATCGAAATCCCACTCTCTCAAGGGCCTCCACTTTATATACTCAACATATACAATGCCCCATTAGGGGCCAAAGGGGCAGGGGAAGCTATTAGTCTAGTACTTAGCTCTCGACATATCTCTACAACGAACCTTCTTCTAGCTGGAGATCTCAACTTAAAGAGCCAGCTCTGGCAACCCGAATTTTCAGGGCAGGAGAATACCCAGGTCTCTCTGCTTGTAAATTGGCTAGAGGACAGAGGGCTACAACTCATTACTCCTCCTGGTACACAAACGCATAGCCTAGGCAATACACTTGACCTAGCTTTTTGCTCTAGTAGCCTATATCAAAAGGGGACAGCTTCAGAAGTCAACCTTGCTTTTGAGTGTGGTTCTGACCACCTTCCTGTTCTTACTCGCCTGCCATGCGTTGGAGGCTTAGTTGAGAAGGACTCTCCTTTAAAACTTAGTACTCTTGACGTGAAAGCCTTTGAGATAGCCCTAAAGGGAAAGCTAGAAGCACAATGGTTATACGAGCTTTTAGAACATCCAGACACAGAATCGCTTGAGGCCTTAGCAGGATTTATTATTGAGTGTGTACATAGTGCATATCTTGGCAGCGCTAAGCGGGGCCTAGGGCGTGGGTTTGGACATCCCTGGTGGAACAGAGAGTGTCAGTCTGCGGCCACCGAGGCTAGGAAGGCTCGAAGGCTAGGGGCTAGCTCAGGGACTATTCAAAGTCTTCAGAGAGCCCTGAGACGAGAGATGCGGAAAGCCAAAGAGGGGCACTTCAAAAACCTGATTGACAAAGCCACAAAAAGCAAGGATGTATTCAAGATTTGCAAATGGCACCAAAGCATCGGGGTATACAAGTCCCCTCCTTTGAAGGACTCGGCTGGCCAGCTTGGTTATACTACTCTAGAGAAGCAGAAGATTCTAGTACAAGAATTACTTACAAACAAGGCCGAAGTAGGGGATATACCAATCAATACCCCTACTACCTCTATGCGTACTCTACCTTGGGCAACTCTTACTCTCCGCGAGGTTGAAGAGTCAGTTCTAGGAAAGGCCTCTACTGCACCAGGGGAGGATGAACTTGTCACAGGTGTCTTTAAGATAGCCTGGCCCCAGATCTCACACCTAGTGTATTCACTATTCAAGGGGTGTATAGAGACAGGGTTCCACCCAGAAATCTTCCGGACAGCTATTGTAGCCATCATCCCGAAGCCTAATAAGAAGGATAAGTCATCCCCTCGTGCGTACCGACCAATCTCTCTGCTCTCGGTCCTAGGAAAGGGGCTTGAAAGGCTTCTAGCGAAGAGAGCTTCCTGGATAGCGATTAAGCACTCTGTTCTAGGCCCAACCCAGTTCGGCGCCCTTCCTCTTAGAGCTGCGACAGACCTTACCACTTGCCTGGCTTTCGACATAGAGAGAGCACTTGCAGACAAACAGGAGGCTTCTCTT